AAAGTCTTTTCACGCTTTTTTTTTCTGGCCTCACCACGCGGCATGTGGGATCTTAGTTCCCCGACCAGGGGTCAAACCTGTGCCCCCTGATGCGGAAGCGCAGAGTCTTAACCACTGGACCACCAGGGAAGTCCCAAAAGAAATGTATATATACGTGTGTGTAACTGAGTCACTTTGCTGTACAGCAGAGACTGGCATAACATTGTAAATCAACTATACTTCAAAAAAAAAATAAAATAAATTTTAAAAAATCATCCTTTCTCCCAAAAACATGAACAACAAGTACTATCCTATTTTACTTTTAAGACTTCAAGAGTTTTTAAAATTAATTTTTATTGGAGTATAGTTGATTTACAATGTTGTGTTAGCTTCTGCTGTACTGCAAAGTGAATCAGTTATACCTTTAAGACTTTAAGCTTTTGTTTACGATCAAACAGCTGGCCCAGGAGCATGATACGGCCTCAGAGGCAAGGAGAAAATCCATCTCTCCCACTATGTTACTGTCTTCTACTTCCTTTCAAATCCATTCAAAAAAGGAAGGAAACCTCATCTTTTGCTTGGTGAGCTATTTCTCACCAGGCACTCTTGTTAGAGATTCATCTATCGAAATACCGCAAAATCTATATGAAAAATAATTTTCTACTAGTATTCTGAACTGAACTTGGAAATCCTCTCTATATGCAGTAACAAGATCCAGCAGTAATCCTGTAAATTCTAAATCGTCCCTTTGGGCAGGGAGGATTTCGCCACTGTATCAAATGGCCCAAAATGTATTAGGCTGATGGTTAAGAATGGTACTTAAGCAAGACACTATTTCTAGTCAGCCATGAGAAACAGTAACTCGACCTAAAATTTTAAAAGCGGCTTGTTTTCAATGCCGTCAGCCAATTCAACATTTTTTAGACTGGTCCTGTTATGGACAATATTGTTAGGACATATGGTCACAAGGAGACCTGTATCTGCTCCTGTTTTCTGTAATAAACCCTGATCAAACCCTTTCTGGAGTAGAAAGGAGATTCTGTATTGAGAAACAGAATGACCTGATGGAGGGTACCAGATATGCAGTGCCTATACATCAGTACGCAGAGTGGTGCTAGGTGGTTTGTACCTGTCTTCTGCGATCCTCCCCTGAACTCGGGAAGGTGGTTTATAATAATCAGCCTCAGTTACAGATGCAGAACTGGCTGCTCAGAGAGTTATATAACCTGCCTACGGTTTCCTAGCTGGTGGGGCTGCCGGAGTCCTGAGTGGGTTTGTTGACTGCAAAGCCTGGGTCCTTTCCTCTCCTCCCTGACGGCCGGGAGCTGCGGCTCTCTGGACATACTGCTGATTGAGGCTCTCCTCTCCTCTGAAGAAGATCTGAAGTTCACTGTCAGCCCTTCATGGTCCCGCATCGAAGCAGCAACTGGATTTGACCCCAGAAGAGCTGGATTTGGGCTCTCGCTCTGTTGTGGCCCTTCTGCTGATAATTACCATCACCAGAAAGTGGAAACCACCACATTCTACTGTGGTTTTGACAGTCATCCTTATGAAAATTAGATCACTTACTAAGAAAAGTCAGGGTAGCCAAAGGTGAAAGGTTGCAAGGAGAAACACTGCATAGTATGAGATGATCTCAAGGAGCCCTTTCTACAGCTGACTGCTGATGGAGACCTTCACACCAGTCAGCCCAGCATCCTGGGGTGTAAGATCCAGAAAATAACTCAGTGGGAACCAGAGCATGTGTGTGAATGCGCGCTGCCCTGAGACGTGGGCTGCCTGGTAGCAAAATGTAAGATAATGAGCACAATGTATAAGATAACGGCCCTCCCCCTCCCCCAGGGATGCTGTGAGGATAGAAGTCAGTTATTATAACCTGTAAAAACCAACACTTGAGGGGCTTCTCTGTGGCGCAGTGGTTGAGAGTCCGCCTGCCGATGCAGGGGACGCGGGTTCGTGCCCCGGTCCGGGAAGATCCCACATGCCGCGGAGCGGCTGGGCCCCTGAGCCATGGCCGCTGAGCCTGCGCGTCCGGAGCCTGTGCTCCGCAACGGGAGAGGCCACAGCAGTGAGAGGCCCGCGTACCGCAAAAAAAACCCCAAAAAACAAAAACGACCACTTGAGGCGAAACAGATAAATATCCAATATGATGAGAGTAATTTTAGAAATCAGAGAACATCAACACGATGCCACATCATGCAGTCATTCAAAATAACGGTAGCTATTACCCACATAATAAGCAAAGCAGAAATGCTCATGATGCATGATATTAAAACACCACCAATGTACTTACTGATATTCTTTCTAGAATTTTAAAAGGTTTCACAGTTTCTTAAATTTTCATCTCAATAGAATTACAAAAGGCTTTAAGACAGCATACTGTTTACAGCTCCTCTCAACAGAACACCTGACTCAGAGAAGTGTACGTGTAATTCCCCTTAAAATAAAAGGAACACTGTGCATCGCAAGATATTATTTAACCTGTGTCTGCACCACCTATAATTTACTCATTAAATTTCTATAATTTTTTATTTAAAAAGAAAAAGAATTCAAAGTACAGACATGACAGACTGTAAAAAAGACATGATTACCAGTGAGTAAATAAAACAGAAGGACACAATCATAACATAGCAAAGAAATACAAGGATCTGCAACTAGTAAAACAAAGTCTAACTGAGAACTAAGCTATGTCGAAGAAGGCTGCTTCTACTTCTCAATTCTTTCTTTCACTCCAAGAGTATTGATCGAGAGCCTGCTTTGTGCCACACTGGGCACCGTTCCAGGGACTGAGAATACAACAGTGGACAAGAAAATTCTTGCCCTAGTGGAGCTTACAGCGTGGGGTGAAAGAAAAACAAGTAAATACATAAAATGTTAGATGCTGGTTAAGGACGAAAGAAAAATAAAGCAGGGGGACGTGGCAGAAATGGGGTGGAGAAGGTGGGGGGACTTTGTAATTTTAAATAAGGTAAACAAGATAGAACTCCATGAGATGATATTCCTGAGAAAGAAGTCAGGAAGTGAGTTCTGCAGATACCTGGGGGAAGATACCAGATCTTGGTATCTCGCCAGATACCAAGGCGAGAAACACCAGTGCAAAGGCCCTGGGGCAGGATCGCACAGGGTAAGAAGGCCACGTGGTTGGAGGGGGAGAATTCAAAAAAGGTAGGAGGAGGCCAAGTTATGTGGGCTTCACATTTCATGATTCACTCCAGAAATGCAATTAATGATTGCTACTAAGGTAAATACACAGAGTTTTTGTTTAGGGTGTTGGCTAAAATGCTAAACTGTATGAGTGAAGGAAGGTCAGCAAGAGACACAAGCCACTGACCAAAGTAACAAATAAGAAGAAGGTATAAACTTTGCAAGGTCAAGGGAAAGTCAGGAACCAGGGAAGCAGTCCAGCATCGTGTTCAGATTTACTGTGTTTACTTTATGATTATATTAGGTATTTTGCTTAATTCCAAACCTTAATATTCTGTTTCACTTCTTCCTTTCCATCATATAAAAGAAAAGCTCTCCTTTTCTTATAAAAGACCAGTCTCCATGGTCTATAGATACTGTCACCGAATTGGAGCTCTGGTGCAGGGTTTCTCAGCCCCTATGGACATTTTGGACCAGGTAATTCTTTGTCGTGGAGGCTGTTCTTTGTGTTATAGGATGTTTAGCAGCACCTTTGGGTTCTACCCACTAGATGCCAGTAGCAACCCCCCAGCTATAATGCCCCTAACAACCAAAAATGTCTCCAGACATTGACAAATGTTTGCTGGGGCGGGGAGCAAAATTGTGCCTGCTTGGTAATCACTGCTTTAATGTGAATAGATAAAAACATCAGCTCAGTGTATTAACTCTTTTTGTAATTCAATGGGTTGATCCTAAGGCATATATCTCTTCCTAACTTCTAAACATACCCAAAGCTATTTGCTACATATTTATAGTTCAGAAAGAACTAAACTCCTCAGATGTTCCAAACACCTTCCTGTCTCAGGGCCTTTGCACAGCTGCTCCCTCTATTGAATGTTTGTCCCATGCAACTCCTACTTGTCCCTCAAGTCCTGTTAAAGCCTTAACTGTCAAGCCCCCCAGGAAGCTTTCCCATGATCCAGGGCATAAGCATGTTAGCTGTTCCCATTTTTTATATGTTCTCACATATGTACTCATACTTTGTTGAAACTATCACAACTGCAATTAAATGATTATTTTGGTCATTATTATTTAATATCTCCACCATTTCAGCAAGAACCCTATCAATCTTGTTGTCTCATGTATCTCCAGAGCACTAAAAGAATTACTGTGGACTCAAATTTATATAGAAAAGCATATCACTGGCCAACTTTGGTACTTTATTACTAACAAATTATTATGCACCTCACAGGCGATCAAAGTACAATGATACAGACCACCATGGCTTAATGATAAATCTCTTAGGGCAAAATCTTGACTATGAATATATTTTACTTGCGGGTACATTTTTCCCTTTTGTTAACAACAAAAGCTATGAAAAGACTGTAATGATGACAAGAGGAACAAAAAGGCCCTCTTCATTAGATGACAATGAATGAGCCACGGAACGGAGTGGCTGTAACTGAGGTCATCCTTCTGGCTCTTTTGAACTCCTTATAACATTTATTTTAACACAGTTTATTCCACACAGCATACATCATATTGTATTGCTTACTCTTGTATATCTGATAGCCGCAAATATATTTAAATTCCTCAAAGGGGTTAGTATTCTGGGATCCACAAATGAGTTTCAGAATGTCCGAGGGATGCTTGAAATCGGATGTAAAGACTAGTAATTTACTCATTAAATTACTATATAATTTACTCATTAAATTACTCCAGTGTTCGTAGAAACACTTTCTACGAACAGGGTCAGGAATGTTTATACATGTCTCAAAGGTGGCAATTTAAGACCCACCATCTCATATGATTCCATTTATTGATAATTTTAAAACTTGTAGGGATATTCCCATCATCTTTGGTCCATCTCGTAGGAAGAAAAAACAAATTTTAGTTACCGATTTCCTCTCCTGCTTCAATTCCTGGACGTAGCGTGCTAACTCCACGGTGATCTGGGAGGTCATATTCTCGGAGATGACTTCATGCTGTCCAGCATAATCGTTCATCTCATTCAGGGTGGAAAGGAAGGCTTTACATGCTGTATACCTACAGAACAGAACGCACACCACTCCTTTTCAAACAAGGCACATCCTCTCTCATGTTGCTTCTCACCAGCGAAATAGTAATTAAAATCAGGTTAATTTGCATACAGCTCCCGTAGGGTCTTGACAATTCATTACACATAAGAGGGTTCTCATCAAAATGGTGCAGAATAAATTACAACTGAATCATTTTTCATTGTGTAAAGCCAAACTGCCCTACATAAGGCAATATCTGGCTTTGTTAATAGCCCACATATAACCCAAAATACATATACGTACTATAGGTACTAATATCATGGATATTTAGATCTAAATTATAGATAATACTTTTGGACTTAAGATGTCTTAATTGCTGTCCGAAACAGACATATTTCTTGGATGAATGAGACGCCTGTATTACAAAACCAACTCAAGATGTAGAGTGTATAATCCACACTTCCTGTATTTGCTTAGATTATATTCTAAGCTTTTCCTAATTACCTTAACTGAAACGATCTGGAATAGGTCTAGTGACTCAGTATAAGTCATTTGAGTAGGTTTTTATTGTCTTTCCCCCAATTTAAAAACTGGCACAGATATGAATGAGGAAGGCAACTTGTTTTTGTAGATATATTATATCTACAAAATATATGTAGATTTCCTTTATAATCATCACCAATGCCATATAGATATTACCACATAACAATCAATGATAAACACACCTGTATTCTTCTTCCTCCTTCGAGTTCTTTTTAGGTTGGTATTTCTTCGAAAGATTCCTAAAACAAAAAGGCAGACATGTCACCTTACACAGAAAGATAACTGAGAAATCAGGAATGAAAGAAGTCAGTGCTTTTGTTTACAAGTTAAAAAAAGAAAAGCCACAAAATGTCCACAGCTGAAATCCATGTTTCCTTCCATCTTCCAGCGTGAAAGACTTGCACAGCTTTGACTCTTTTACCTAAAGGTAGAGCAAATAAGAACAGAAATGGTCGCCAACCGGTCGTTTACCTGGATGTTAAGACTTGACATTATTTAACCGGAGAGGGCAGACCATGTGTTTCTATGCAACCATTATTGCTCTAAATCCAAGGCAAGCATATGGACTGAGTTCAGATGTTTAAATGAAAAATCAAAGTGTCAAGGGCAGGTTTTCAAGGCTGTGTGCCGCTCTCCCAAAACCTAATGAAAACTACTTGTGAATAAGTCTTCTTGAAGGAGGTAGAGACAATATTTGGGGGGATGTTTATGCTAAGACATTTAGCAAGGAGAACTTTTAACCTGCCTAGCAGGCTTGCACTGAACACACTCAGATTAGTCAAAATTGCTCTAATCTATCTTCCTCATCCCATCTCCAGGTCAGGAATCCAGATACTCCCCTCTACATTCTGCATGCTTCAAATTACACAAAAACTAAGAGGTAATCTTGAAAAAAGAAAACTCATTAACATTTGTTCCACTGATTGATTTCTTTTGGGTCCTGATTTTGGCTTCTGTAGTTAGAAGAACAGCCATAAAGGGACTTCCCTGGTGGTCCAGTGGTTAAGAATCCATCTTGCAATGCAGGGGACACCAGTTCGAACCCTGGTCGGGGAACTAAGATCCCACATGCGGGAGGGCAACTAAGCCCATGCACCACAACTAGACAGAAGCCTGTGCGATGCAACAAAAGATCCCATGTGCTGCAACTAAGACCTGATGCAGCCAATAAATAAATAAATAAATATTGAAAGAAAAAAAAGGAAGAAGAACAGCCATAGATAAAGAGGATGTGGTACATATATACAATGGAATACTACTCAGCCATTAAAAAGAATGAAATAATGCCATTTGCAGCAACATGGATGGACCTGGAGTAAGGATGGACCTTACTAAGTGAAGTAAGTCAGAAAGAGAAAGACAAATACCATATGATATCACTTATATGTAGAATCTAAAATATGGCACAAATAAACCTATCTACGAAACAGAAACAGACTCACAGACATAGAGAACAGACTTGTGGTTGCCAAGAGGGAGAGGGCTGGAGGAGGGGTGGACTGAGAGTTTGGGGTTAGTAGATGCAAACTATTACATATAGAATGGATGGACAACAAGGTCCTACTATATAGCATAGGGAACTATATTCAATGTCCTGGGATAAACCATAATCGAAAAGAATATGAAAAAGAATGTGTGTGTGTGTGTGTGTGTGTGTGTGTGTATATATATATAGAGAGAGAGAGAGAGAGAGAGAGAGAGAGAGAGAGAGAGAGAGAGAGAGAGCTGAGTCACTTTGCAGTACAGCAGAAATTAACATCAACTATACTTCAGTTTAAAAAAAAAGAGGGCTTCCCTGGTGGCACAGTGGTTGAGAGTCCGCCTGCCGATGCAGGGGACACGGGTTCGTGTCCCGGTCCGGGAGGATCCCACATGCCACGGAGCGGCTGGGCCCGTGAGCCATGGCCGCTGAGCCTGCGCGTCCGGAGCCTGTGCTCCGCAGCGGGAAAGGCCACAACAGTGAGAGGCCCGCACACCGGGAAAAAAAAAAAAAAAAGAAGCAGAACAACAGCCCTAGGAGTGGACTAGTGGTCCACAGTGGGACTCCATATGACAGCATTCAGTATTCACTTCCCTGTTTATTCCATGTTGCTATTCCTCTTTCATAGTAGCTACTTTCATTATTTCACATTCTATTTCTTTCATTTCCTCTGAATCTACAGATATACCTAGAAAAGTGTGCAATAATAAGTTTACAATTTTGATCACGGTACGTTTTACAGACAAAGCGAAATGTGAGTTCACCTCTAACAGGTGTTACTAGGTGACATGAGAGGCAGAGGACTTTAGTAAAAAGGACATTGCTCTGGGAACCCAGAGGCCACGTGACTAGATGGTGTAACCTCAGACAAAGCAATGGGCAAGCCTGTGCTTCCAGTTCCTCATCTGTAAGCCTGAGTCAGGTGGATGAAATGACCTCTATTGTCCCTTAAAGTTTGGAAATTCCCAGGGAATATATATCACCCAATAGAATAGTGATTGTTGCAATTACTTTAAAAAGAAGTCATGGGGTTTCCCTGGTGGCACAGTGGTTGAGAGTCTGCCTGCCGATGCAGGGGACGCGGGTTCGTGTCCCAGTCTGGGAAGATCCCACATGCCGTGGAGCGGCTGGGCCTGTGAGCCATGGCCGCTGAGCCTGCGCGTCCAGAGCCTGTGCTCCACAACGGGAGAGGCCACAACAGAGAGAGGCCCGTGTACCACAAAAGCAAAAAAAAAAAGAAGTCATGGGTATACAACAATTTAAAAATTATAATTAGACAAACTGATGAAAGAAAAATCTACTGACTTGGAGGTTGCTATCACGTGAGCTATGCTTAAACAAACTACATTGTGTTTTCTCTACTGATACTCTGGATACACAGTAAAGATTATCTAATAGATCTAGATTTGAAAGAATGTGAAAAAGCAGTATTTCCTTGAAGCAGGTGCCTTAGAGAAAAATTAATGCAAAAGAGAGAAATTTTTGTTTTTAATTTAATTTTTTAACATCTTTATTGGAGTATAATTGCTTTACAATGGTGTGTTAGTTTCTGCTTTATAACAAAGTGAATCAGCTATACATAGCTGATTCACTTTGTTAAAAGAGATAAATCTTATATATTGAAAGCATGGTAGAATTCTTTGAGTTGCCTACCACATTGAGTCCTTAAAAAGGTAGATTTAATAAAAACAATAGCTCCGACTTACATGTACCAGGAATAAAAGGGGAGCCATGGAAAGCAGATGACTAATCAATAGGTTATTTTCCAAATATATTTAAAGCAGCATATATGGGACCTGCAGTATTGAAAAGCCTAGAGGTTGCATGTGAGATGTTTTTAGTGCATGGTTTTAAATACTGACCATTTCTTCTGCTAACTATAAATTACAAATGGAAAATGTCACTTCTAAATTCACATCTTATATAAAAACTCATTCAAAACTGTTATTTTAGAGGTTGATTTAAATCCACATTTTCTTTTTAGCTTTCAGTCATTAGCAGATGTAAAAATAACTTAAACTTTATATCTAGTTGAAGGGACCATAGCTTGAAGAGATCCAGGTGAAACCAGCACTTTTTATAGTTCCGTTTTACCAGTCAAATCCTAACCAGGATTAAAGACCTGTTGTGGGTGATCTCCAGTAAAGACGGTCCAGTACTGAAGAATGATTATCACTTTGACGATGTTAGCATATATAGCATTCAAAATGCTTCTTAAAAGCATCAGTGGGGCTTCCCTGGTGGCGCAGTGGTTGAGAGTCCGCCTGCCGATGCAGGGGACACGGGTTCATGCCCCGGTCTGGGAGGATCCCACATGCCACGGAGCGGCTGGGCCCGTGGGCCGTGGCCGCTGGGTCTGCGCATCCGGAGCCTGTGCTCCGCAACGGGAGAGGCCACAACAGTGAGAGGCCCGCATACCGCAAAACAAACAAACAAAAAGCATCAATGAATAATTCACTCTATAGACACCAGCAGAAAACTAAAGGCTTAAGAGGTCTAGAAGGGATAAGGATATTTCTCTCAGGGACCACTACAAAAAAAAGAGCAACTTGCATTTCCATTCTCTGGAGGTGGGCTTTCTCGCCCTATTTGTATGAGGTTATTTTAAAAATAAGCAGGCAAATAAACACCAAAAGCACCTTTAAATTTATGGCGTCTTTCTGAGAAATTTAAATTGTTTTATACACTTGCTCTTCAGATAGGCTAATTAAAAGGTAAAAGGAAAATATACATCTTTTAATAAAGATACTGGATTTAAGTTTGGTCGGTCCTAAGAACTGCGGTGAGACTTCTAAAATGGAAAAACTTGGGCCTCATTCCAGACCCTCTGAAATGGAAGGTCCAAGGCTGGACACAGGAATGTTTTGTGTTGTTGGTTTTTTTTTTAATCTGTCTTTTATATTTTAAAAGCTCACCACAGATTGCCAGATAAAGATGGCAGAATAAAATCTGATCAGAGAACTGCGCTTTTCCAACGAGAGGCGAAATAAAAGCCAGGAAATTTTCAACAGCAGAAAATAAACCCATGAAGAAAGGCACGTCACCTCAGTCTACACACTCTGAGGAGTGGTGACCAGCGTGAGGGACAGAAAATTCTGGAACAGTGTAGAACAGATGCTTGACCCCACCCTCACAGTCACAGGGAGGGAAACAAGTCCACAGAACCCTGAAAACCGATTCAGACAGAAGTAAACTGAGGGGTGAGTAAGCACTCAGGGGACAGTGACAGAAAAGATCTGAGAGGAAGACATGCAGGCTGGCCACCCGGATGCCAGGACTTGGCAGGAGCTGGGGCTGGCCACCTGGGTCTCTACTTCCCAGGGCTGCAGGCTGAATGCCTGGGGAAGATTACCACAAAACCTAGGGATTCCCAAGGAATAGGGGTGAACGCCTTTGACCTAATGGAGTGAATGCTAAAACAGAACCTCTAACAAAGTTTCAGAACAGACAACAAAACTCAGAGCCTCAAAGACAAGATGTACAGAAACAAGTGCTTTTGAGACCATGCCCCATGGGGTTAATAAAAACTGGTGACGAACAGAAATTCTTGAGCTTGCCTTCCAGTTTATTAAAAACCCCTTCACGTGTAACCTGCCTTCACCGATCGAGCCGATGCTGTAACTGTTGCTACAAAAGGCTTAGCTGTCCTCCAAGCATCACACAGCCGACACAGTAAGATGTTTGCCTGGGTTGTTTTCCAGGAACTCAGAGCTAGCTGTGTCTAGCTCAAGCTCAAGCCAGCTAAGACTGGTCGGGACT